ACCCACAAATAAACACACAAACAATCATACATATAACCGTGCTCACCCAACTTTGCTTTTCCATTTCAGCGTGCAATTTCAGGGGCACCACCAGCAATAGCCGAACATTGTAAACCCATAAATTCGTTGCATGTCGTTAGCAATATTATTTCCCTGTTATTTGCTCTACCCAGCTCTGGCAGCGTCACCAATTTTCGCGAACCGCCTGAACGCTCAAAGGAAATTATTCATGTGGGAATTTCCCCAACCGTTGGCACGTGCAACCCTTGGTCCTTCTGACGTCACGCGACCTTGATTGAGACCTCCCGAGTGATGGGTGTGCCAGTGAAGTTCCTGTCACTGATTTATTTTCGGATATCCCTGCCCCCCCTCTCTCTCTCTCTCTCTCTCTCTCTCTCTCTCTCTCTCTCTCTCTCTCTATCTATCTTCCTACCTACCTTCTGTGTATGTGTGTGTGTGTCCGAGTTTGTATTTATGTATGTATGTGTGTGCCTGTGTATGTGTGTTTGTTTGTTTGTTTGTTGACGTATGTGGGCTGGGGGAAAGGGGGAACAGACTGAGAGTTAGACCTGTTAGGCGCACAGGAAACTTTGCTAATATTCCGCTATCCCCAGATTTTGATGTCGTTAGTTGCTTATTACTCAGTGGTATATTGTTGTGTTGCTTTTTTTTTGGAGGGCGGGGGACACTGTACTTAAACAATTAAAAAAAAACAATTTCTCCCCTGTGGGTCTCTATTCTTTTGTCGGAGATCCCTTCTCTTCCCACTGTCATAACTCCGAACCTTGTAATAATATGATGCCAGCACTTGCGCACACAATAATCATGGCTAAGATTTCAAAACGCCAAAGCACTTGCCTTTATAGGCGTGCACGTCAAACAACTGTCATTAATTCTGATCCTGCTGTTTAATCTGATAAATTGGCCAGCTTAAGAAACAACGCATTTAGCAAGTGCAGCAGCTTATCGTTTCTTCCCCTCGGGAAGAGAGGCGAATATAATACGAGAAAAGAGAATTGAGGACAATAATGTAATTGGAAGTGGGTGGAAATAGCTGGTCAGCAGTTTCTTATCTGCACAATTATGTAAAAGGAGGGGCATCGGGTGCAGTGGGATTTGAGGTCTTAGATGACGGGGAGAGGTGAAATGTGAACTTTTCAACATATTATAAAGGGATGAGTATAATAACACGATTGGTTGCAACGCTCATCGTAGTCATTGTAACCATTACTATTATCATCTCATCATCATCATCATCATCATCATCATCATCATCATCATCATCATCATCATCAACCATCATCATCATTGTATAAAGCTGATATTAAAACAGTTAAGACCTGGTAGTGTTTCCAAAAAATATTTTATCCAAAGTTCAACGTTTCGCCCTCAACGGGCTTCCTCAGGAACATTCACAAAATAAATGACAAGAATCTAGATCTACACGTGCTATAAAAACTAAAGTGTGTACATATATGTCACAACACTTGAAGGAGCGGTGGGTACAAATCGTAAAGGCCAGAGAGAAGGGAACACTAAGGCCAGAAGTGGTAGAGAGAGAGAAAGAGGGGGGGGGGCAGATGCGTGGAAGAAAGGAATATAATAACAGAAGGGTGCGGTGAACGCAAATCGGAAAGGCCAGAGAAAGAGGAACACTAGAGAGAGAGAGAGAGAGAGAGAGAGAGAGAGAGAGAGAGAGAGAGAGAGAGGGGGGGGGCATATGCATGGAGGTAAGGAATATAATAACGGAAGGGTGCGGTGAACACAATCATTGAGTCGAAAAGGCCAGAGGAAGGGAAACACGAAGGCAAAAAGTCAGAGAGAGCCCATGTTTTGCGTCTAGGTTTTTGACAAGGATAATTTTGAGGTGGGGAACTTGGGTTTATCGAAGGTGAGGACGTGGGTTTTACTGCTCTAGTGCAAATGAGGAGGTTGCCAAGATTGGGAGGCTGACGAAGTGCAATCAGAGGAGGGTCGGGGAAACAGGCTTTCATTTTGTCTTGGTTTTTCCAAGATGCTT